TCATAGCCTTGACACTGGCAGTTAATTTTAAGCCAGGTTTCTTTACGTTATGTAGGCAATGACTTTCTATTATTAGCACTACATTACATTTAAATCAGTGTATTTTCAAGAAATTAAAATTACTGAAGGGTTTATGTGCTCCTCATACTTGGCAGTATCCCAGCCTTAAGGGTGGGGGAGCAATACTGATTCCCCACCCACCTCCCCCCAATTTAAAATGTTAGTCAAACAATGTAGGAGGGACCAGTGTCCACTCAACTCAGCACTGTTGCTCAAGGCAACAGAAACAGAGGGTTAAAAACCCGATCTCCACCGAGAGTTTAACCCATCAGGATGCCAGAAAAAGCTCTGCATGTACTACTGAACCCAGCCTATGCTTCAGTGATTCAGCGTAGGCAAAAGGTGCATGCTTCAATGATAAATAGTCACAAGTAAAATTGAATAAAAACCCTTTGTGACAATTTCTTGAAAGCTATGCTTATTACATTGAAGATTAATACAAGTAAGTAAATTTGTTACATTTCAACTTATAAAACAAGTTTAGAAAGTATCACATTTTCTTATGGTAGTAAGAATACTGTGCATGTCTTTAGAGCTAAAGGCAGAATTGGTGCTATTTGAGAAGTTAAAGCCATAGTCTCTCAACTTTGTCATTTCCAAGCTATAGTTTTGAATGTCTGTTATTACTCAATTTTCCAAAGCACATTTTAGTTTAGTCCAATTTTATCTTGTATTTGAGTAGATCTAAACAGTCTGTGCCACACACACTGCAGCAATCAATATCTTTACTCATCACCAAGTCAGAGACCACAATTACTATTTTGATTTGGGTGTTAACACTTTCAGAAGAGAGAATATGGATTTAATGGTTTACCATAAGAAAAGTGACAGAGCCAACCAACCATCCATCCCCACCTGTGCCCTATTCTTTCCTTGTGTTTCTTTAGAGCCTTTTCAGCTATTTCCTGTGAAGCAAACTGCACGAAGGCCTCCCCCGTACTCCTCCCCTGGAAGTCCACCGGCAATGTTATCCCATTTGGCACGATTTCCAACCCTTCAACCCAAGGACAAATAACCCCAGTAGGGGGGCAATATTAACATCACAAGCCCAGTCATGAGTTTTTTCTTATAGCTTTAAAAACACCAGAATTCAAACACTTTTAAGAGAATGGTATGTTGATTCTAGAACACCAGAATAAAAAAAGGCACTTCAACAAAGAGCTCCACGATCACATACCATTCAGTTCAGGTTCTTAACCCACCCTGCAGAGCTCAGAAATGCTCTGAGGGTCAGGGACAGCCCCTCAGAGAAGGCATCTAATGCAGGGTGAGTTAAGAACTTCACACATCATTACAAACCTCGGCAATTCTGTGAAAGTATTTAAGATGAACTTTTTAAGAGAACTTAAATTCAAACACAGCAAGTTAAACAGCTTTATACAGAACAAGTAATTTTACTAGAAGTCATGTAAAATAATTAGTCTTATGCAAATATCAAGTTTCAGCATTTTTTTATCTTTAAGAGTGCTTAATTAAGAAAAAAATCATGAAGTAATTTTTAAGTATTAGTTCCTGAACAGAAGAGACACATTTTGTACATTAAGCACATAAACAACTTAAAAAACTTGAATTACTTCACCATGTAAGAAAAGAACAGCTTAAAATGTACATGCTTAGAAATTACTCTTGTTCATATCACCAATTCAAAAAAAAAAAAAAAAAAAACAAGTTCTGAGATTGTAAACCTGGAAATGTTTCTACTGTATTTTAAAGCAAAACAACAAGTTTCATCATATCTTGTAACAGCAAAGCATTTAGAAATCTAGTATTTTGAAAATAGTAACAAATGAAATCCTAAACAAACAACAGATTCCATTCTTAGACATTTTAATAGTCTAATTCCAGTTTGTAAACATAAAACAGCTGCAAAGAAAGTAAAAATTAGTCAAAACAAGGCATTATCTCTTCATCCATAAAAACTTTGAGCTAGGCAACATCAAGGGTCTGGTGGGTTTTTTATCCCCATAGGAAGAGAAAGGGGCAAATCTGTAGATCTCTATTTGGGTAGAGGTCAGCAGGTTTTCTCTGCATTTCATTCAATACTAACTCTATATTGGGAAGAGGTCATGGGCCCTTTACTGAGAACCTGGCTCCTCACACAGGGCCCAGTGGTGAGTGTGATCTACATCCTTCACCAACCAGGGCCAATCATCCAAGGCCAGGGGTGGAAGCAGCTTCCCACATGAACTGTTCAGCTTTATTTGGAAAGCAAGATACTTTTCTATAATCCTTTCTTGGAACAGCATGTCCCACCAAGTATAAACTCAAGCACCTTTTTGGCATTCTCTAGATTATTTAATTTATCAAGTATTTTAGGAAGTGATCCAAAGGGTTCTTCATGCCCAGAAAACTAATGAAGAATTGCTTTATTTATTTTTAATACCCATGATAATACTGTTGGATGTACTACTGGGCAATCCATGCCTGTTTGGTTTGTTGGGGTACTTTTAGCATAAACCAATAGTGCTATAGCTACTACTTTTATCCCACATACCTGAAAAAAACTGTACAATTTCTTCTTTACTACAGCCAAATGGGAGTCCTCTAAGACGTACAAAACCATCATTAGCTGTATCAGGGCTGTTGGGACCAGTATGCTTCAGAACCCAATCCATTTCAACGTTGTTTGACTTGAAAACTGTAAAAGGCACTTAGAATTAATGCATTCTGGAGTAAGGTAAAGGTTTTAAAGTTATTTGCCTTGAAACTAGTCAACTTATGATATGCAAGTCCATTTGTCCTTTCACATGCATTTTAGAGAGACAAAAAATGCAATTAACCAAAAACCCATCAAGCACAAACACAGTGTAGTCAGTTACTAGACCAACTGAGTCAAACCTTCAACGTATCTGTGTCCCATTGTTTCTCTGTCTTTTTTCAGGGCCAATTTCACATCCTCCTCTGACTCAAGTTCAGCAAATGCTTCTCCACTTGGTCTGCCCTCCCTGGTGTAGATGAAACGGATACCCAGAGCCCCGTTCAGAATTTTGCAATCTGAAAATCAAACAGAAAGGTCAGAATTACTTTAATTACTACAGGAACAGTGTTACTTTCGAAGTTTCAGAGAGCCTAAAACCAAAAATGTACTGAGTATCAATTATATCATAACAACAAAACCAGCACCATTTCTGTTGCAATGCAACTTTAAAATGACCAATTAAAGAAGACACTAACTAAAGTTCCCATTCTAGTCAAACCTGCAGATAAATGATAATTGCAAATTAGCTATTTCCAAAGCTCTTCTGCCTCAAGGTGAACACACTATCTGCTTTTGATCTTAACTCTTATTAGCCTGAAATAAGGAACAGTAAAAATCAGTTTAAGTGTAATAAACTAAATCAGAACAAAATCAAATACATCAAATTCCAGAAGCAGTTTTAAAAGGTCCAGTCACTGCAGAAAGCATGTATTTATCACCACTATTTATTACTGCAGAATGCTATTAATCTGGGGAAGCATACACACACTGAACACTTGTATTGTCCCAATAACATGAGTCTGCTGGGATTTAGCTTTATAATTCTTACTTCAGGTTGAACTTTGTTTAAAACTGAACCTTCTCTCTCCTGGTTACTCAAGCAGCAAAGGCAGTTGTGGCTATCCCAGCAACTCAAACGAAGCCCCTTAGTAATGAGTTCCTGCTAGCATTAACATGGCTTTGCACCCCAGGTTCTGGCTGAAGCACTTGTCGCACAACAAACTGCACTGGCTACTGAATGCCTCCTGCAAGTGCTCACTACAGCATTACCACAGTGTCTCTGGGAGTGACACAGAATTGACAGCAGAGCCCGACCCCTCTCCCACAGCTCTTATTCCTCCACAGCCCCACTTACCGGAGAAGAATCTCTGCACCTCCTCGGTGGAGCAAGACCAAGGCAGCCCCCGGACTTTCACCACGTATCCCTCGCTGCTCTCTGTGTTAAGCATCACATTGGGGGTAAGGCTCTGCTCTGTCTCTGCTTCTGTGGTTGCTGGAAAGACCAGAATGGGCCCTTTGAGATGCTGCTCAGCACGGCCGCCACCCGCACCCCCTCAGAGCGCCCGGCGGCCCCCCTGGCCTGTGTCCCGGCCCTCCCTGATCCTCCTCTGCCTCGGCCGCTGCCGCCTCACACACACGGCGCCGCTCCCGCCCCCGGCCCGCGCCCTGCCCCTTCCCCGCACGCACACATGGTGGGGCTCCGCGCTGGTTCTAGGGCTCCGAGCCTGATCCACTGTCCGGAGAGCGCCTAGTCCCGGTCAGGCGGCAGCGAGCGGGCGAGCCTGCAGCGAGAGCGCGCTAGGAAATGGCGGCGGGTGCTCCCGCTTCCGCTGGGCCGGGCCTTCCTCCGCACAAAGAGCGCGGTCCCAGACGCCGCCCTGGCAGGCCCGCGGCCCCCGGCGATGGCGCAGCGCCCGTACCCGGTTCGCAGGGAGGGCCGTGTGACCAGAGGGCACCGAGCACCGCGAGCCTCCGCCGAGCACGGGACCGGCCGCAGCGTGGCCGGGGTGGGTGCGGGGCGCATGTGCCCCGGTGGGCCCGGCCCCACCCCCGGGACCCGCGTGCCGCCTGTGCGCACGCGCCGCCCGCCCGCCGCGCCGAACAAAGCCCCGGCCCCGCGCGCCCTGGGCGCCGCTCGCCGCACTGCGCGTGCCCCGCGCGCTGCCGCCCCCGCCCCGGCCCGCCGCGGCTCCCGCGTGGCGCGGACAGCGGAGCGCTCTAGCTGCGCACACCGATGCGCGAACTGGCACTTACCAGCTTCAAAGGCTGACGCTACCCCACGTGAAACAATCTGCTCGCTTCGGTCACTGAAGCCTGGTGTGTTTGGAGGAGATGGGGAAAGAAGAGACAATGGGTCACAATTATATAAAAGAACGGAAAAGTTAATTCCCTCCCATTTCCTCCAAACACACCAGACCTAGCTAAATTTCACCTTGTATTACCAAGGAGGAAGGAGGAAATTGGAATAACTCATCTAAGAATCCTTCATCCCCTTTCCCCTTGGATAACCAGCTCATGTTTCAACTAGCCTGCACAGTTGATAGAGGACCCCTGCCTAGAGTTAAGCAGGCTCCTGGAGCCCCGACATTGGTATCTGGAGCCCAGAAGCTGCTCTGAGTAGTCTCCGGATGAAAGCCATTCATGCACGAGTGTTTCTTCTCCCGTCAGTACCAAAACAGACTGTGAGCCTACATTGCCTCATCTCTTATTACATGTTCTGGACTACTAACAACCACCCCACCCCCACAGCTGGAGGCTTTTAAATTTTTTAAGTGCATGCTCAAGTTTACGTAAGTAAATCAAACAACATGGCGAACTCGTTTACAGAAATGCAAATTAGATCAGTAAGTGGAACCGCGCTACAGTCACTTCCTGCTCAAAGGTCTCTTCTCCATTTCACTCGCCGAACGCCCATTTTGTAACACCGCGGCGGCGGGAGCTGGGCAGGAGAGGCGGGGGAGGGGGCAGCGCCTCCGCCTCTTCCCGGGGAGGACTGGCGGGAAGCGGCCATCCCGCCCACCCGCCTGGCGGGACGCTTAAAGTGCGCTGGAGCAGCCGGGAACCCCTTGAGTTCCCGCTCGGCACCGCCATGTCTACCCCCGCCAAGCGGCACTGCCAGAGCCCCGCCGGCTCCCTCGAATCCAGCTTCCAGAAGCGCCTCAGGAAGATTTCCATCGAGGGGAACATCGGTGAGCTCGACGGAGAGGGTGCGGGGGGCGGCTCGGGGTGGTAGGGGAGTCCGGGAGAAGGTGGAGGGTGTCAGGCCGGGAGCACCCAAGGGGTTGGGACGCCGGGGGAGACAAAGAGAGAGGGGTGGCTGCGGCGCTTGTACCCCCGGCTCTGCGGGCAGAGTCGCACCGGGACATGAAGCCGGAGCGAGGCTGGGGCGGATGGGGAGCTCCCCGAACAGGGTGCCCGTCAGTGACACCGAGGCGCAGGGCGGGCTCGGGAGCACAAAGCCCCGGTGTCCCCTCGGCCCGGCCTGCAGCGCTCGTACGCTCCCGCCCGCGCCAAGTCCCAGCGCCTGCGCGGCCGCTCCCTCGCTCTCCCCGCTAAGCTCCGCCCGCCACAGCAGCTCTAAAATGTCGGCTGCTCCTCGGCCGCCCTTATCACCCGCCCGGCCGGGCGCGGCCCCTCTGGCGAGAAAGATTAGCGCAGTTCGCTCCGCGGCGGACCCGGCCGGCCCCGCGCCCCAACAAATGCTAGCAACCTTTAAACTGCCCCAGTCCGTCAGCAGCAGCAGAGCTATCAACCCCCAGCCCTTTGTGAACTGCTCTAATCTTCCGCAGCTGCGGGGAAGTCAACGTTTGTCAGGCTGCTGGAGAAACACAGCGATGAGTGGGAGATCATCCCCGAGCCCATCGCTAAGTGGTGCAACATCCAGACAGCCGAGGATGAGTATAAGGTAGGTGCGCTGGATTTGGGCCGGAAGAAACTGCAGGGAGCTCCTCAGCCAGGGAGTTATGCCAGAATCCAGCTATACTTAGTCTGCAGCAGCCAGAGTCATCCCCACTATCATACCACAGTTGGTCAGCCACTCAAATGGTAAAGGCAAGATACTACTGAACGTATATTCCAAACCACATACCCTACTCCACGGGAATCACACTAAAATCTGGAAACTGCTCAAAGACCACCATCACCTGAGGAAAAAGTCTCTTAGATCCCATGCCTAAGCATTTTCTTGGTAATAAAAAGAAAGCCATGAATTCTTACTTAAACATATCAGAATTCTGGATTGAGAAAAGCAGTAGGTTCATATTAACTTTTTTCTCTTGCCTTTTAGGAACTTTCAACATCTCAGAAGAGTGGAGGAAACTTACTTCAAATGCTGTATGACAAACCCTCAAGATGGGCTTACACATTTCAGACTTATGCCTGCTTGAGCCGAGTAAAAGCCCAATTAAAACCTCTCTCAGCCAAGCTGTACGAAGCAGAACATCCAGTGCAATTTTTTGAAAGATCTGTGTACAGTGACAGGTAATTACAGCATGGCAAGAACTCAAAATAACAATTTCCAGGTCTTTTAAAGACATGGAGCTGAAGAAACACTTGATATTTAAACTAATACCTGCAAGGGGGAAGCAGGCTTGATTAAGGCTTTTTTTTCAATACCATCATTCTGTTCTGCCGACAGTGTTTTAGTAGCTCACTTTTGTCATTCCTGGCATAAGAGTGATTTCTTTCATTGCAGATACGTGTTTGCTTCTAACCTGTTCGAGTCTGGAAGTATTAATGAAACAGAGTGGTCTATTTATCAGGACTGGCACACATGGCTTTTGAATCAGTTTCAATCAGATATAGAACTGGATGGCATGATCTATCTCAGAACCACACCTCAGGTATGCTCACTAAAATGGAGATTTCTCAGTTTCAGTTTCATCTTCCACAGGTTTAAGAGGGTACAAAAAAGTTATTCTAGATTTAACTCGCTTATGTTCAGCCAACCATTTAAAATTAATGCTCACTAATGTCTAGCATTAATCCTTCCAAATTAAGGGCCACTTGATCCGTTTAGCTGATTTAACCTACAACACATGATTAATGACCAGGTTTATATTTTTTTTCCCCAGAAATGCATGGAAAGGCTACAGATGAGGGGCAGAAAAGAGGAGCAAGGAATCGAGCTTGAGTATTTGGAAAACCTCCACTATAAACATGAAACCTGGCTTCATGAAAGGACTATGAGGTAGGAACCCATTTTCTGTAGCAAGTTTCAACTTGCAGGCAAGGCTCTTTCCTACCTTAAAGCTTTAGTTTTATCGAGTTTACTGCAAGTCTAGTTTCACTCAGGCAGTTGGATACACTCATATTTATTCACACTTCAGGTTTCAAGGGATGAAACTCAATCTAATTTGAAACCTTTGTTAAGCATTAGCTTCAACTAGAAAGCTTCCTTGTAACTCTGGCAAGGATATGGATTTTGCTAATTGGAAAGACTCAGGAATAAGACACTTAAAATGGTGGTATGGGGCCAATCACATACATTTCTCAACGAGAAGTTTCTGTTGCAATGTAAGAGGCAAACAAGGCCCCAATACCTTTAAACTAGCAGGACTGCATTTCAACAAAGTTTAAATATTAATCCTAACTTAAATTTAAACCATAATCAGAAAGGCTTTTGGGAGAGCTGTTACACACAAGAAGCCTAATTAGCAACTGAGTGATCTCTATACACCTTCTCTTAAGCTCCTTATTGACTCTTACTGGCTTTCCCATCTAAAGAATCTGAACATGAAAACAGACCCTACATTTTTCCCTAGAGGAGTCCAAAATATTCTACTGAAGGGGAAGCACTACAATTCCAGGAAAAGTACATTATCAGTTTGATCTACTTGCTGAAGTTTCACCTAGGATGATCCAAATGCTTAGGAGACAGAAGGCAGTGCACAGTGTGCAATTTTGGGAATGTTTACATTGTGTACTCACTCCAAACTCAGTAAGGAAGCACTTCCTGCGTCTGGAATAGGAACTGAAGTGTGCAAGCACAAGTTAGAATGTTGCTCAGCACACGTACTGCGTTTTAGAAACGCCTTCCACACTCACAAAGACAAAACTACTGCTCCCATCTGTTCCTAAACTGAAGCCAAAATGGTTTTGCTTATGTCCAAGACATTATAAATACCAGTCTTATAACCTGTTAAAGAGGTCATCCTCATGAAAGGACGCTTTAAAACTGCATCTTTGTAAGTGGATTAAATGGGGGAGACACAGGGCAAGGGAGATTTTGAAAAAAATACTTCATCTTACAATTACAAAATCAGTTCCTGGTTATTGATTCCATTACAAGAATGTGATAAAGGAAATTAAGGTTAAAAATATCCCCCCCCCTAACTTGTACATTACTAAGAGTCCAGATTTGTGAAATATATTAAGAGCAATTAAGGACAAACTTGGCATAGGCTTTATATTTAAGTTAGGAGCACCAGCTTAAACATTTCAGATGCTTGTGGTAACCAAGAGCAAGGGTCTTGAATGCAGAGTATTTTATGTCATTTTACTCAAACTATGTTTTTCCATTTAACAGAGTTGATTTTGAGAACATTAAGGAGATTCCTATTCTAGTTTTGGATGTTAATGAAGACTTTAAGAACGATAAGATTAAACAAGAGTACCTGATTGATAAAGTAAGTATGAAGTATTAGGGGGTTTATATCTGCTCTTCTGCAGTTATCATGCACACAGTGCCACTAAACAGTGGGGAGAGTAAACAACCATTTGAGGAGACAAGGAGGGAACAGAGAGCCAAAATGGTGTTTACCAATTCCTAAGAAAGGCAAGACTTATTCTGGTGGAGTTGTTCGGCTAGTTCACGGAAAAAAAAAACTCCACCTAATACTTACAAGCATGAGGAAGTGCTCTCCTAGGAAACCCTATAAACCATTTTCTTCATCTTGTTCTGGGTCATCAGCTTTAGATTACTGAAGAATGACTCCTTTAAGACAAGACTAATTCCCTCAATTTAACAGCTCTTAATAAATTGGGGAGCCCAATGATGAATTGTGGAGGTATTTGTCATTACATCCTCATGGAAACCAGCAATTAATGGCTTAATTTTAAGCAGACAGTCAGACTTGCCATCTTCCTTGCCCCTCTGAAAGGCCACACGCATTTCAGTTCATGAATTAAATACAGGGGCAAAACATCACTGGAAAACCGTAGTAACAGACAATTTCTTCCCAAATAAAGGGAAAAGCCTGGTACTTTTAATGCCTCAAATAATACATATGCTTTTTTTTTTTTAATAGGTCAAGTCATTTCTGACTTCTTTAGAAGATGAAAATTAATTCCAATAACAAGTCCATGAAGTTCACTCAACAATCCGTGTTTAAAAATTTACTTAAAACAAATGCATTAACTGTATAGCTGATTTTAAAGCAAGCCTGAAATGTAATAACATGATTTGGGGTTTATTTTTATCCTTGTCTGAGCAGTGTGTTTTGGTAAATCTTTTTGTATAGCTGAAAAGAACAAATATGGGGTATTTTGATATTGATTTTTTTCTTTTATATTCTCTGCTGTTTAATAAAGATTTTAAAGTGATATTGCCTCTCGAGTGACTGTCCCCACGGGGGAGCTCAGCGAGAGGCCGACACCCAGTAAACAGATAGCAGGCGCTGAGCAGGGCTGTTTTGCAATAACTGGCACGGGTTCACCATTTTAAGACGAGACTGTTATGGCGTCCAGAAACCTTTACTTTCAACTTCTGCTTTACTGAGTGGCCGTTTCCACCGGATTTACGCTACTTAAGGCTGGACGTTAGACCTGTAACAAACTGTAATTTACGCTTATCTCGTTGGCGATCTCACGCCCACCCCCCCAGCA